AGGATGAGTCAGGACGGAGCAGGGGACCGGACTAGTTCTGATTAGAACTGGTGGAAAAGGTTTGCTGAAACTACAAGGGAGTTAAACTTTAAAATGGAGGACAAAGAACTGAACATACTGACATACTGATTCTTTAAAGAGAAACTTGGGGTTTACTACATCTAAGAAGGTGACAGAAAAGTTCACTCTATACACAGAAGGCAGTTTGGAACCTGTATTTTCAGCCAGACTTTTTGTTCTTGTTGTTTTGAGGCGGAGTCTTGCTCTGTTGCCCAGGCTAGAGTGCGGTGGTGCGATTTTGGCCCACTGCAACCTCCGCCTCCTGGGTTCAAGCAGTTCTCAGCTTCAGCCTCCCGAGTAGCTGGGATTTCGGGCGTCTGCCACTACACTTGGCTAATTTTTTGTATATTTTTTTTTTTTTTTTTTTTTTTTTTTTGAGACGGAGTTTCGCTCTTGTTACCCAGGCTGGAGTGCAATGGCACGATCTCGGCTCACCGCAACCTCCGCCTCCTGGGTTCAGGCAATTCTCCTGCCTCAGCCTCCTGAGTCGCTGGGATTACAGGCACACGCCACCATGCCCAGCTGATTTTTTGTATTTTTAGTAGAGACGGAGTTTCACTTGGCCAGGCTGGTCTTGAACTCCTGACCTCGTAATCCACCCGCCTCGGCCTCCCAAAGTGCTAGGATTACAGGTGTGAGCCATCATGCCCAGCCAAGCCAATCATTGTTAAAACAGCTGCTGCAGAATAAGTGGTAAACTTAATAGAATTAAGAAGTTGGGAAGGAGCACAGAGCAGTATTAAGTCCCAAGCCAAGCTACCTGGGTTCAAACCCCAGCCTTGGTGCTCATTTGCTTGGCCTTGGGCCAATTAGGGGAGTTATTGGTGCTTTGGGTTTCCATATGAGGGTTCAGAGTGTGCACAAAGTGCCGTCTAGAGGGACAGTAAACAGGTGCCCTTCTCTTGACTTCTGTTAACTAGCAACTTTTCTCTGACCCTAATGTGATGGTATTTTGTGATGGGGCCTTGAGAAGGTGATTAGACCATGTGAGTGAAGTCCCCACAAAAGGGGTTAGTGCCCTTATAAAAGAGGGCCCCAGAGACCTCACTTGCTCCTTCCGCCATGTGAAGGCACAGCCAGACCAAGGCACTGAATCTGCTGAAGCTTTGATATCAGACTTACAGTCTCCAGAGATGATAAATATACGTCTGCTGTTGATAAGCCATCCTAGGTTTTATTGTATTTTGTTATGGCAGCCTAACAGACTGACATTGAGTTGATTGAAATGTAACCTGTTAAACTAAATCACTGAAGTCATCTTTTTGAGTTCTTTCCCCCACCATGTTTAATTCTTACTTGCTTTGAACATAAAAGGTTTTAAATTACACAAGTAATACATGAATGTGTGCTTGTAAAAATCTCAGGGAATACAGTAATAATTCAGGAAATAGCTAAGGCCTGTGTTAGTCATCTGATTGCATGTAACAGAAAATCCAATTACAACTGCATAAATAATCAGAAAACTGATTGCTTAATGTAATCAGACCCCAGAGCCCTGCCCCACTTTCCAGGGATTCTCCGAACTGGGCCTTCCTCAGCCTGGGGGCCTGTCTAGTGGGTCCGGTCAGCACCCTCCACGGAGTGCCCATGTCCCTCTGCATGGCTGCTGCTTGCCGTCCCCTCTGTATGTCTCTTCCCATTCAGGAGCTCCAGTGCCTGCTGTTCAGCCAGGGTGATGTTGTGCACCCATGCGCTCTGGGGATCTGCACAGCCAGCTCCCTGTTGTGTTTTGAGTTGCTCTTAGACATTATTTTCATAGGTCTCCTCTATCACCAAAAAACGGAGATCTTAGTTATTGAAATAAATGGCCTGAGTTGACTCTTTTAGTAAATAGCCTCTTATGTTAGAACAGTAAACTCGGTGACTTTCTGAACAGGGTTTTCTGAATGTGGGCACATGAATCTCAAGCCCCATTTTGGCTCTTAGTAGCTGCCTTATGAACAACCGAATTCTCACTGGTTTTGCTCATGCCTCTGTTGCTGTGGGATTAAAATGAAAAATCATCTGCAGGAAGGTGCTCTGTCTTGCAGTTCAGCCCTCAGAGCTCTAGTGACTTTTCTGCTTAATGGTCAGGTTATTTCAGGAAACTACAAAGCCTGTGTTGTTAATTTAATTACCTACTGCATGAGCCAAGATTGAATTCTTTTGGGCTCTTAAACTTAAGCTCTTCCCCGTCGTGTGCTGTTTCTCCATACCCCATTTTCAAAGGCATCTCTAATTTCATAAGACTTGATGTGAAGATTTAAGAGTATATTAAAATAATGCTTGTATATGCTGAGAAAATTGTGGTGGTTTTTCTTCACAATCAATGCAGAGCTTCAGTGAGTTGGAATTTGGCCTTCAAATCTACCTCAGGGCACTATCTTAGTGTGCCAGGGCTGCCATCACAGAGTCACACAGTCTGGGTGGCTTAGCAGAAATGCATTGCGTCACAGCTCTGGAGACCAGGTCCAGGCATCGGCAGTGTGGGCCTCTGTGTCCTCCTGGGGCCTTCCTGCATCCCTCCTGCCTGTGTGACCAAATCTTCCCTTATAAAGACACCAGGCAGTTGGATTAGGGCCTATCCTGAAGACCTCATTTTAACTGAACTGCCTTATCAGCTTTGAAGACCTTATCTCCACATGCCTGTATTCTGAGGTACTGGAGGTTAGGGCTTCAACAGGTAGATGTTTGTGGCTGAGTGTGTGTTTGTTTCTGCATGTGTCTCTGTGTGTGTGTCTGTGTGTGTCTCTGTGTCTGAGTGTGTCTGTGTGTCTGTGTTTGTGGGACACAGTTCAGCCCGTAACAGGTAACTGAGGTTAGATGGTCACAGGTCAGATCCCTACTTAAGTCAGATGACACTTTGCTACAGGTGGATGTGCTGCTGGACCGGACATCTCCAGGTGAACACAGGTTAGAGAGTCAGTCCACGATGGATGCAAGAGACGTTGCTGCTTGGTAATCTCCTTTTGGATGAGTCTTACTGTACAGCAGGGCTCCCTGGGGAGAAGAGCTTGGAGCAGGTGTCGGAGGCAGCTCCTCTTCTACTTTGTATGGATGTTATTTGTGTACTTACGTGAAGTAACTGTATTGCAAGGACAGTGTGTGAGAGAGAGACTGTGTGTGTGTGTGTGTGTGTGTGTGTGTGTGTGTGTGTAGTTTTACATAGAAAACCAAGTGGAAGAGGAGAAAGCTTCCATTTAGTTGGCTTACTTTCCACTTAGCAAAGAGTAATTATTTTTTATATATTAATCTTGGAACTGTTTAACAAGACAACAGAAATTGGCAGTCAAAATTAAGAAACCAGAAGCTAACTAAAGATTTTCTTCTTTTATTGATTTTTTATTTTTTTGAGGCAGAGTTTTGCTCTTGTTGCCCAGACTGGAGTGCAGTGGCGCAATCTCAGCTCACTGCAACCTCTCCTCCTGGGTCCAAGCGATTCTCCTGCCTCAGCCTCCCCAGTAGCTAGGATTATGGGCATGAACCAGCATGCCCAGCTAATTTTGTGTTTTTAGTAGAGACAGGGTTTCTCTATGTTGGTCAGGCTGGTCTGGAACTCCCGACCTCAGGTGATCCACCCACCTCAGCCTCCCAAAGTGCTGGAATTGCAGACATGAGCCACCACGCCTGGCTTCTTTTACTGATTTCTGAGACGACTACCAAATAAATGAACAAGATGAAAAGTGGTAAGTTCAAACATAAGCGTTGTTTTTGTGTTAACAAAATGTAGTCATAGTCCCTTTGTAGCCACTGTGTGCCATGCCTTGTTTGAGGTGACCGACTGTGTTAACTCATTTAATCCTCACTGCTGCCCCTCTGGCCGAGCTCTTCTCATTTTCCCATTTCCCTTGTCCCGGAGGCACAGGAGTGGTAAATGGTCTCCCCAGGTGTAGTCAGCTGGTCAGTGATGGAACTGAGATGGGAACCAGGCAGTGAGGCTCCCAGCGCCCTGCCCGCTCACCATGCCATCTGCCCAGAAATGTCATTACCCTTTCCCAGTGACTTGATATCATTATATGAGTTGCAGGAGGCTTTTTATTTTTAGGTTCTTGATAGCAAAATAAGCAGATGTGTTAATGGCACACATCAATTCCCAGTGATTTCTTAAAGGTCAATATACAAGCAATTTGGAAAATGGTTTTACTAAACTAAAGAGGATCCTCTGAGTATAAGAATTTTGTCATCTATATTAAAAGGTTCTTTTTTAGCTTAAGTGTAATACAGTTATTTTATCATTTTATGAGAACAAAATGGATTTTTCATTTCTATGAAAGTGAAGATAGAAGAGCTGAGCTAACACGGAGTGTGCAGCGTAAAGCCGGCTGCAAACTGGAGTCCCGACTTGTGTCTGTCACTGTCAGATCTGTGCTCTGAGCACGCTGGCCTTCAAAGCTGACTTTCCTCATCTGAATTGGGGTCGTGTTTGGGCCTTTCCTCCCAGGAGTCATGGGCAGGACAGAATGAGAGGGTGCCTGGCAGGTGCCTTGTGTAATATTTGCACATGGGGAGCCACCTATAAATTGTGGGTCCTTCTGGCATTTCGTTGAACAGTGAGCTGAATTTGGTGAAGTTTGGTTTCCTTTTCTGCATGGATTTTTGGCTATCTGGGAGAAAGTGGGGCTGTGGACCATAGCTCTGGCTGAAGTAGAGCCGGCTCAGTCTCTCCTTAGCTTTGTGCCCTTGGGGCAAGTTACTCACCATCTCTGATCCCCATTTTTTTTGTGGGGAAAATTACACCCACCCCATGGAGGTATCATGAGGGTTCAGTTTCACCACATCGGCCCTACGCTGGGTTTTCCTGAGGTTCGTTATATAGAGGCACAGATAGAGAAGAGTCTTGCAGTATCATTTTACTAAGCATAAAATGATCTAAAAATACCAACTTCATAAACTTTAGAGCCCATTTTACTTGTATTCACCTAAAAATGTGGTAACTGAATTTCTCTTTCTTCCCTTTACAGGTGCTGGAGATCAGAATTTATTTACCTCTGTTTATCCAACGCTCTCTCAGCAGCTTCCAAGAGAACCGATGGAATGGAGACGGTATGGGTTGTGTGTTTTTTGGCTGTATTCCTCCTTCATTTTTTTTGTTTTTTGAGATGGAGTTAGCTCTGTCACCCAGGCTGGAGTGCAGTGGCATGATCTCTGCTCACTGCAACCTCAGCTTCCCGGTTTCAAGTGATTCTCCTGCCTCAGCCTCCTGAGTAGCTGGGATTACAGGCGCATGCCACCACGCTGGGCTAAATTTTGTATTTGTAGTAGAGACGGGGTTTCACTCTGTTTGCCAGGCTGGTCTCAAACTCTTGACCTCATGCCCCCTCTCTTCATTTTTTTTTAAAAAGTGCATTTTTAAGTAAGTATATGTTGTTCAGACATTTATGTGAACAAGCAAAGTAGCACGAGTTGAAAGCCTCAGTTCTAAAGAAACAGAGTGACCTCACGTAACCTGGCACCTTGATCTTTGAACTTCCCAGCCTCCAGAACTGTGAGCGCAATAACTTTCTCTTGCTTAGAATTTACCCAGCCTGTGATATTCTGTTATAGCAGCAGACAGCAGACGAAGACATGGATGTGTATGTGTTGGTGGGGTGTGAGGGGGTAGAGAGAGAGAGAGAGAAAAAACCTTTTTAGTACTCTTTGTATTAAAGTATGTATCTTGGCTGGGCACAGTGGCTCACACCTTTAATCCCAGCACTTTGGGAGTTTGAGACAGGTGGATCACCTGAGGTCAGGAGTTCGAGACCATTGTGACCAAGTGGTGAAACCCTGTCTCTTCTAAAAATACAAAATTAGCTGGGTGTGGTGGAGCATGCCTGTAATTCCAGCTACTTGGGAGGCTGAGGCAGGAGAATTGCTTGAACCCAGGAGGCAGAGGTTGGAGTTTTATTTATTTATTAAATAAAATAAAATAGTATGTATTTATTACTTTGATAAAAAGCATAAATTTAAAATTAATTGATTGGATCTAGGAAATGAAAATTGAAACAAAGTTTACCAGATGTGCTGAGCAAGCTGTATAGCTGAAAAGCAAATTAGTGAGCTGGAAGAGTTGAGCTTAGACACTTTGTAGATCAGTGCTAAGAGCAGGAGTGGGAGCGCATGGAAGAAAAGCTGGCCCTGGAGGATGACTTGAGAAGCTCCAGGATCTACCTGAATGGCGTTTCAGAAGGAGAGTGGAGGGAACAGAGGACAGGTGACATTGGAAGAACGGCTATCAAGATTCTTCCAGAAGGGAGTCAGGATACTGCAGGAGCCTGGTGAATATCAAGGAGAATGAAGTAAAGAAAGCAAACAGAAAACCACGCCAGGGAATCAGAAGAGGAAGAAGAACCAAATATAGAGTTTCTAACAGCACCATTTAAAATGCAACATAAAATACGTTTATGAGCAGCCCCATCATAGTCCTGAGGGAAAATACCCAGACCCTACAATTCTTTATCATTCACAGTGTTGTCCTGAGTGAAGACGGTGTCACAGCTTCCCACCCTGAGGGCCTTGCATCAGCCACTGGTGCTGAGAAGTTTTTCTCTAGGCCTCCGGGTGGCCATGTTGGGCCCAGGATGGCTGGGGTTTCTGCTCCATTGCTTCTGTGTGCAGAAAGCCATTTGTGTCTACCGCAGAGTCCCATTCAGTTACCATGTTCATTGCTTGTCCTGACGTGGAGACAGGTGCACTGAAGTGAATAAAAGTATTTTCAGACATCTGTGAGATCAGAAGCCTTGCCATTCTCTGAGTAATTAAAGGATGTATCCCAGTATGAAGGAAAATGAACCTGGAGACCCAGGGTGAAAGCAATGTCTGCCAGCAACATGGCATGTTTTGCTGAAGTTAAGATGTCACTTAAAAACAAAATCTAAAATTTCAGATGTGTGTGAAGCAGAACAGAGAGAAGGGAGAATAGTCTTCAACTTTAGTCTTTGTAATAAACCTTATGTTACATACTAAGAATTAAAGTGCAGCCAATGGTAGAATAGAAATAGATGGTAAGACTTTCAAACTGGCAGAGAGGAAAGATGGAAAAAGAAAACTTGATTACCAGAGGACAGGGAAAAATAGAGCTGGCAAATAGGAAATGCACATATTTGAGCATCAGCGTAATCACATTAATGATGGTTGGTTTTAACTTAGTAAACACAGCATCCTTAGATTGGATAAAAAAGCAAAATTCAGCTATAATATTCAGAAGAGACGCAGCTGCTAGGAGTGAGAAGAACAGGTGTGGCACGGAGATCCGTGCGGTGCGTTCACTTTTAGAAGCATCATTAGTTCGTCACCGAGAGCCTTGGAGGAGATGCAGGGGCTTGTGGGATTTCTTGATGACTTCTTCTTGGGTTGAGAATAAAATAGAGGTTTGTACTGCTATATTATTTGTGCTCTGCAAACAAAAATCTGTCATTTTACAGCAAGTAATTTTGTTTCTTGGATAAAATACAAGTTGTTCCAAAAATACTAATGCAACCCTAAAGCTTTCATAAGTTGAAGCTGCACTTTGGACATTTGGGACACATTTTTCTTCTTTTATGGTGACATAATTATAGATTCAGTTACGCTAAAACCCATTGTTAAGCCTGTAGTGGTCCTGGTTAAATGGAATACTTGGATGAATGTATTACCGTGCCTGTATCCTTGAGGAAAATGAAAGATTTTATGGAAATAGAGCTTTGACATGTACATGTGAACTCTGTTTAAAATAATTCAGAGTGATTTTGAACAGAATGTGTAGTTATGATTTGGGGTCAGTATATATGCTCTGAACTCATGGATGCAATTACGTTATTTGTTGTCCTGTGTGCCCTCTTGTGATGAATGTTGTTTAGTTGTTTTCTCAGTGACTTCAAACAACTGTTTACAGGTCCTATGGCCGGGCTCCCAAGATGATTCACCTAGAGTCTAACTTTGTTCAGTTCAAAGAGGAGCTGCTGCCCAAAGAAGGAAACAAAGCTCTGCTCACGTTTCCTTTTCTCCATATTTACTGGACAGAGTGCTGTGTAAGTATCAGGGAGGGGAGGAAGCGCGGTGGGATGGGTTGAAAATTGATGGGGCTAGGCTTTGTGGAGGCAGCTGGCATTTTTCCAATGTACTTTTTCATGTACTGTGTTTGGGTCGTCCCTTCATCCCTGGGCCAAGTGTTGGGGGGTTGCTGTTGCGTGTTTGTGCCTGGGTCTGGTGTGCTGTGCTCACTTTGGCCCCCAGCGCAGTCCTGTTCCTGTGTCTCCAGTCTTGTGAGCTGTCTCCCTCTGCCCCGTGGCTGCTAGGCATAGCCTGAGCTGTGTTTTGTTCTCATGACACCCATGTTCCCATCCTGGCTCCATTGTCCTTGGTTATACGTGTTGTCTCTTCTGCCTGCATGTGACCCTGAGGCCAGGACCATGTCCTTCCCCCATGTTGCCGTGCCTGGGCAGGAGGTGCCCCGTGACTCGGTGGAACCAGCGGGTGTCAGCGCCACCACCGCCACAGCCTTCATTTGTATTTTCCAGTTGTGTGTTCATGAATCTAGAAAGAACCTTTTCTTTCTTGACACACTTCTCCTGTCGTGAACCAATAGAAAATGCTATGGGGCATTTCTTTCTGTGTATTTTGACTTAAATAAAGCAAGATTTAGCAGCAGAGAAAATATGTAGATTATTACACGCCATGGCATTGTAGCCTCCACCTGAGGCGCGGAGGGAGTTTGTGATTTGAAACAGGAGCTATAAGTCTGCACCTGGTTTTCCTCAGACTTCACCTCAGGCACCCCTTCTCTGCTGACTTTGCTCTGCCTCATTTCCCAGAGGCGCCACACAGGTGGCGCTTATCCCCAGCAGCCAGTGAGGACACACAGGAGGTGTTTTCCACCAGGGAAGCCTGCCAGAGACTCCGTGCCCAGGGTTTTCATCGGGCTGCTCCTTAGGCCGCCTCTGCCTGGCGTGCACTGACACCCCACGGTTCCAGAAAGCAAGCGTTTAGCATAACTGCGCTGAGGGCACCGACAGTGCAGGCCTGCTGAGCTCCTCTTACCGCAAGGGCTGGGAGCCCTCTTCTGGTCCAGGTTCCCAGAGGCAGCCCAGGGCCAGCCCCGTGAGCAGCCCCGAGAAGGATGCTGTCCCTGGCCTTCAGTGGCAGCTCTTCTCTCCATAAGCCTGGTTGGTAATGTTGGATTCAGTCACTCCTTTCAGGAGTTGTTCCGTTTCTCCCTGATGCGGGGCTGTTGTCCCTTTGCGATCAGTAGGCCATCTCTGGGGAGCCACTCGGACCACATAAGTGTCCTGCCCCTCACCCTGCGGCGATTCTTTCCTGAGCCTGTCTTTGCCAAGGGTGCTGACTTTTCCACCCACCTCCGTCAGCCCATCTGGGGAGTGCCCACGGGGCTTTCTGTTCAGGCAGTGGTCAGAGCAGTCACCTTTGCTTCTTCTGATGCTCATGTTGTTCCAGATTTGGCCATCAAGAGTCACTTCAGGCTGGCTCCTGTGTTCTTTTGAGCACTTTCTAACCATTTGTGGCATACCAAGATGTTTCAGGTTCTGGGAGTTCTTTGCCCTTGTGCTGGCATCAGCTGTGTCTCCACAGAGACCTGGTTCCTCTGGCAGCAGGTGTGCTCGCTGCCGTGGGGGCATGGCTCCTTCTGCACCCTTTCAGCGGGCAGAGTTGATGGGATGATACTGATGCCTCTGATGTTACAACCTGGAGGGCTCTTTCTTGCCTCTGTCTCATTTATTTCTGCTCTCAACAACATCAGCACATTTATGTATTTGCTCCATGCTACAATATGCATAAGATAGTTTCAGAATTGCTACACACATGCCACAACTAGGAACAAGCCTGCTGAAAACAGCTCCAGATTTGCGCAGCTAAACTGCTCCTTTTGGACAGTGTATATCATAGTGTGTGTTAACGTCTCCCTCAGCTTCATCCTTTTCAAGGTTTTCGTAGTTACTCTTGCATGTTTAATTTAGGTATTTTTGTTGTGATCAAACTAAGTTTATACATTCCCATGTGTAGAACTAACATATTCAAGATGTGAGACATACTCAGGAACAAGGGATGTCTTTCCTTTGTGCAAGTCTGCTTTTGTGTTTACAGTTTACTTTGTTAGAGATTTTTAAAATTCTTTTTTTTTTTTTTTTTTTTTTTAAAGATAGGGTCTTGTTCTGTCACTCAGCCTGGAGTGCAGTGGCAGGTTCTTGGGTCACGCAGCCTTGACATCCTGGGCTCAGTGATTATCCTACCTCAGCCTCTTGAGTAGTTGAGACTGCAGGGATGTGCCACCATGCCCAGCTACTTTTTTGTGTGTTTTTTTGTACAGATGGAGTTTCACCACGTTGCACAGGCTGGTCTTGAACTAGGTTCAAGGCATCCACCTCCTTCTGCCTCCCAAAGTGTTAGGATTGCGGGTGTGAGCCACAGCGCCTGGCTGATTTTTTTTTTTTTTTTTCCCCTGAGACAGGGTCTCACTGTCATCCAGACTGGAGTGTAGTGGTGTGATCTTGGTTCACTACAACTTCCGCCCCTCTAGGCTGAAGCCATCCTCCCACCTCATCCTCTCAAGTAGCTAGGAACACATCTGGCTTTTTTTCCCTTGTATTTTTAGTAGAGACGGGATCTTACCATGTTGCCCAGGCCGATCTCAAACTCCTGGCCTCAAGCAGTCTTCCTGTCTCAGCCTCCTGAAGTGCTGGGACTACAGGTGTGGTGGTTCAGTACTGAACTATATTTGCATTCCTGATATCAATCCCACTTAGACATAGTATTATTTTCTCAATGTGGTATTGGAGTCTATCACTTAAATTTTATTTAGGAGTTTTTGCATCTATAATTCACAAGTGGTGAAGTGGTGGATCAGTAACTTTTGTTTTATGCTCTTTTTTTTTTTTTTTTTTTTTTTTTTTTTTTTTTTTTTTTTTTTTTTTTTTTAAGTGGAGTCTCTGTTGCCCAGGCGGGAGTGCAGTGGCACAATCTCAGCTCACTGCAACCTCTGCTGTCTAGGTTCAAGCAATTCTTCTGCCTCAGCCTCTGAGTAGCTGGGACTACAGGCACACGCCACCATGCCCGGCTAATTTTTGTATTTTTAGTAGAGATGGGGTTTCACCATATTGGCCAGGCTGGTCTCGAACTCCTGACCTTGTGATCCACCTGCCTTGGCCTTCAAAAGTGCTGGGATTACAGGCGTGAGCCACCTCGCCCGACCTTATGCTCTCTTTATGAGGTTTGGGTATTGATGTTCTACTTAATTCATTAAAAATTTGAAAGTTTTCACTTACTTTCTGTTTCTGAAGTAATTTATGTAGCACTGGAGCTACCTGATCTCTAAGGTTTGATGGAATTTTGGGAAACTAGCTGGGCCAGGTACTTTTTTGTATTTCTTTGATGAAAATTGGTCTGTTTCAGCTGTTTGTTAATTTTGATAAACTACATTTTTCTTGGAAATTACATATTTAAGTTTTAAAATTTATTTTCATTGAGGTATAAAAAGTGGTCTGATTTTTTTTTTTTTGGCTTTTAAAATGTCCTGTCAGTAGTTATTTTCTCATCATCATTTCTTTTTTATTTTTTGGAGACTGAATCTTGCTCTGTCACTCAGGCTGGAATGCAGTGGCGCAATCTTGGCTCACTGCAACCTCTGCCTCCCAGGTCCAAGTGATTCTCCTGCCTCAGCCTCCCAGTAGCTGGGCTTACAGGTGCCTGCCACCACGTCTGACTCATTTTTGTATTTTTAGTAGGGAGGGGACTTCACCATCTCGGCCAGGCTGGTCTCGAACTCCTGATTTCAGACGATCTCCCAAAGTGCTGGGATTATAGGTGTGAACCACTGTGCTCTGCCCCCATCATTATTTCTTATTTTGTGCATTTGTGCTTCCTCTTTTTCTTCCTTGATTAAATTAGCTACTTCGATTTCCTCCTACCACCAGAGAACCAGGATTTTAATGTATTCATCTGATTTATTGTTAGTTTTGAAATATTTGTTATCTGTTTTCTACCTCATTTTCTACTTTCATTTTTATTATTTCCTTCTTTTTGTTTTCTCATGGTTTACTTTGTTCATTTTCTAGTTTTTGGGAGTTTGAAATGCATTTACTTTCATTCTTAAAATTTTATTGATACAGGTCTTTAAAGTTAATGGATTTTTCTCTGGTTACTACTTTAAATGTATCCCATTGTTTTACCATTTTTCAGAAATTCTTTATTTTTGATTTGTATTTCCCTTTCATTAAATAGTTGTTTAGCAGAAAGCTTTTTAATTTCCAGGGGAAAAAAAGATTAAAAAAATTTGTGTTTAGCAATTTCTAGCTTTATTGCATTGTGGTCAGAAAGTGTTTATATCTGCTTTATAAAACTTATTTTTAAAATTTTATAAATTTGACTATTGTGATCAGTTTTTGTGGACATTTCATGAATGTTTGAAATCTGTTTCCAGATTGTAATGTTAAATATTTACCTGTAAGACCTATCTTGCTGCTTGTGTTGTTTAGATCATTTGTATTTTAAATTTTGTCCATTTGGCCTATCCTTAACTGACAGTGGTGTGGTAAAGTCTTCTATTATTGGTGTGTTTCTGTTCCTCTTGCATCTCCTGTATTTTTTGTTTTGTATGAGTGGTTGATGTATTATTTGGTGCTTAGGTATTTAAAACTATTGCAGTTTTTATGGACTGAAATATGTCATTTACAGAATGGCTTTTGGGTAGTATATCTTGCTTACGGAGGCCTTGTCTGTCTGAAGATAGTTGATATTCTGTATTTTCTTTTAATAATTTTGTAACTGATATTTTATATTGGGACCTGTATAGCTTCAAGTTATTTTTATGTGGGTAGGAGCTGTGGGGGTTGAGGGTCTAATTTTATTGTCTGAATGCATAGCAAATTGGCCTAACACCATTTCATAATAGTGTGTCTTTTCTCCACTTCCTGGGAATGTCACTTTTTTTTTTTTCTTTTTTATTATGTCACCTTTTTTTAAAACCAGCATCCTGTATGCACAATATTCTGGACACTGTGGTTCTATTGATCCTTGTCTGTCCTGTGCCAGAATCAGACTTTTAATTATTACACTTTTATAATACGTATCTATCTTTCTTTTAAAATAAACCTTGTGGCTGTCTACATTTTCCCTTCCACATGTCGTGTGTCCAAATTTATTTTCTGAAGATGGCTGTATTAGCATACCCATCCCACATTCTCCTCTCTATGCGACAGTGACTTCCCTCTGTTGAAAGGCTGGGCCTGTGTTTCCTTCAATTGAATCTGGG